CTGGGGTTAAATAATTATAACATGTCATCTGATAATACAGGGCGATTCATTTAAATCGATCCCTACGAATGTCATTGAAACCGTCGTCGATACGGAAAAATGTTTCAAATAAAAAATAAATTGTGTCAAGGAGACAATAATTTAATAAGTAATTTTTTGATAGGCGGACCCGCAGATGACTGGTGAAGTCCAGGCATCGAAATTTTCAAATGCATTAACTGATGCGACTCGTCATTCCATATAAAAGAGTATGAATCTGTTTATGCTAGAGGACCATTAGGTTAAGAGATATTTTAATTTGAATATTTACTATTACTACTCAATTGTAGTAGAGTTAGTACGCGTGACACCTAACATCTTATGCCAATATGGCTGATATGTAAAGAAATTTTGAAAGAAATGTTACAAGGGCTCGATCGATTATTTCGAGACCGTGTAAATCTCTGCATTCAGGTCGAAGGGCATACTTTTGAACATCAACTTTATAAAGGTACACGTGGTATTACTAGTGTAAGGGTAGATTTCGGATGGAACGTGAATATTAACAAAAACTAGAGAAAATAAACAAAAATATTTATAGAAGGTACTTGACCACTCCTCTCCTTGGAAGGAAAACGGTGGCCATTGTTCTACCCTAAAGGGAAAAACTTGGATTTTGTCCCCTTCCCCCTAGGCGAGAAAAATGTATTATATTATGTCAACCAATATTTTGTATGTAAAAATTACTCTAAAGTCCATTTAAATTAGAGATAGATTCTGCTCCCCCCTCTCCTCCCACACGACTCACCCACCCAGTCACCTGGCCACGCCCATGAAACTAACAAAAGTAACATATACTAGTTCGTTCTCGTACAGAACAAAGAGTCTTTTCAAGAAGACAGGAAACCTAATAGAACTTTCCGACATCCTATTAGTAGGGGAAAGGTGTCTAAAAGGATCCCTTTAAGGCGTAATTTATATAAAAAATACAAATGCTCATTATTTAAATAAAAGTAAAGTAGTTTTTGTAAGTTAGTCTATCTATCTTATCATTGGTTTAAATAAAATTGAGCTACGTGATCAGTCATATTTTTTATTCACATTTCTTTGAAAATTAAGGATCATGTTGTAATGTGTGTGTATAAAAAGATCCCCGGGGATCATTTTATACCTACTGATAGTAAATACGACGAACATTAAAAAGCATTTGAGTTATTACATTTTATTTAAATAAAAACAGCTTTGATGCGTTGTTTTTCTTTCATACTGACGGGGCATTGTTGTAACTAAAACAAAAAACAATAATATAGCATATGGGTAAAATGATTCCTGGGATCATTTTATTCTATTAGCGAGGGATCATATCACCCTAAACATCCAACACACATTCAGTGGTTGAATATAACATCAAGTTAATATATGCGGTAATGAAACATTAATTAACTTATTATTGAATTGTGGTTAAATCCGCGCAAGAAGCAGCTGTCACATTAAACCGTTTATGACAAGGTTACACAACATTGAAAAAGACCTTATCTTAGATAAATTGCAGTAATTTAAAATTTTTTTTCGGGACAACAAACAGAGTATTGATATTCACATGGCACTTCGAGCAACAACTAGTGACGTGCGGAGAGAACTATTGTAGAATGACATTGCGATATGGCACCCCTAATAATCACAGGGCAGCCAGGAATCATTTTACCCCGAGGGATCGATTTAGACACCTTTTCCCTACCAGTGCGCAATTTTTAAATTAAAATGTCTCTTCATGTATTGGATTTTTGGCGTATATACTGGCAACACTTGTTCACAGGGAATAACGAGCAGCATTGACTACTAGAGTAAAAAATATATGATTCAAAACAAATTTGACTTTCACATATCCTACGCGTCCACCTACGAAAAAATCATTCATACCAGATTATTTATTCCGAGAAAGCATTCAGTTTTTATCTGAAACATTTCTCGGTATCGCCAACGAGTTCGAAGATATTCCCGGGGACCGGTTTAAATCCGGACACAACCACTCCACCCTGAATAAATAACATTGTACGTGGTCGAGCAAGTGGATTAGAGACAGTACCTAGTACTAGTGAAATCATACTGTATGTAAAGGGACGAGTGGATGGGTTCATCACTAGACATATTTAGAAAGGTTTCATATTTTAGAAGATTGTTCATAAAGACAAAAACAGTAGTAGGAATTTCTTTCTTCTTGTAAGTATCTTATTGGGCTCAAAAGAAAACAGAAATCTCGTTGCATTCAATGAAAATTTTGTCCTTCATTGTATTTCACAGAGACCTATAGGCTATAAATGCATAAAATCCGCAGTCTATTCATCACATACTAAACCAAAGAATTGCAAAAGTTACACCTGCCAGAATAATTACAGTGATCCCTCAATGAATGCGACACGAGCAACGGCGTTATTCCCACCATTGGGGGAGTTCCCCTGTGGAACCAATAAAAACAGAGTAAACAGAAGACAGAGGCTCGGCTTCGTGCAAAAAACAAATTTATGAGGAGCTGAAAACCTTTCTGCCTTGCCACGAATGCTCTGAAGTGGACTCGAGTGTGTCGCACTCATCGAGACTTTACTGTAGAAACAAAACCGAGGAATCGAAAAAGTTACACCTATCGGTATGATAAGTAGAATACTTACTGCATGTAGTAAGATCTAATCTATCAATTAATATTGAAAATGTATAGAAGTCCAAAGAATACTTTGTTTCCTATAATTAAATCCTTTTCTATTATTGTATCTTTTATACTTTAAATTTAATTGCCTTGATGTTTCTATTGCAACGATGATGGTTAATACTGAATGATCGAAGTTCCGTTTCCACCCTCCGTCAACACGATTAACGTGTGATGCACATATATCGAAGCCAGGCGAACGAGAGTTTACGCTCTCCCTTGAGACATCGAACTGTGGACAAACTTACGAGACGACCATTGGATAAGGAACATTTCAATTACCAGGAGGAAATGGTTTCCCCAGGTGCTACGGTTACGATATTGCCAAGCGTACAGCATCAAACTTCCAATAATACGAATCTTACACGATCCGGTGGTCTTCGTTAGCGGTACCATCCGACAAATACCAACGTACTCCAGATCTGATCATCAACGATATTTCCAGTGACCGAAAATATTGTTGGACTAGCTTTTTCGTATTGAAACTCAGCAAAATAGAATAACCAGGATTAAACGAGTTGTTCGTGTTGACGGTCTTGTTGTTGGTGTTGTTGTTAGTGTTGTTGTGTGAAGAATCACGGTATTTTAGGCTCACAAAAGTTACAAAACTGATTAAAGAAATAAGTTAAATTATGCAAATACTAAAATAGAAATTCTTCTTTTATATTCGCATGACATTCTTTATTTTATTTTTCATTACCTGTGTTTGTAATATAAAATTATACCCTGCTCGAGTTAACTCGAACGTGCATACTTCTGCCAGCATCAACTCGAGGGTGTGCGTTAATTTTGATTGTAAGTTAGCAATAAATGAATGTTTTTCCTAACCCGTCGTACCATGGGTTAATTGCGTCAGTTTAAAAAAATACGCGCCAATTTATGAAACGGCTGCCCGATAAAGAAGGGGAGCAGACTTATTAATTAGTTCCGCAAAGTTACGCGATAATTACGGTTCCGTGCGATTCTGCGGCCAGATTTTTCCGGCGGTACAATGTAAGTCCTGATCGCTAGGAGCACGTTAGGAAACTCCGGCAATTTACAGCGGCTCGAAACTTCTAAATCCTGGACACGCTAATCCGCTTACCCCTTTTCTATCGTCCCGTACACTCTTACGGGGAACGCCGCGAAATTCCAGCTGAAAAAGCGGATCTTACAAAGGCTGCTCGATAACTGAAACGGAATTACGTGAAGCCTGCCCCGGACAACGAAACCCTGTCTGTCTGTGTTGGATACATCCGTCGTGAACGGTTTTTCGAACACGAATATATCGGTAACGACGCACAGTGTAACAAAAATGTTGGATGACCGAAAATGGGAGACTCGTGAGGTGATTTGAAACAAGTTTTTCCTTAGCGAAAATGTTATCCGAGGCTTTGTTAACGAGATATTAACGAAAAACCCCGTAACTATATACTATAATTATATACCCCGAAACTATATACTACAAACTATATACTACCATTCTTCCAGATGACTGATCAAAAACCTCTCTATTTAAATTAACTAATTACGATTGCTACTGTGTCGTCTGACCACTGACGATCTTTATTCCACTTGTCTGACTGTGCACTTCCTGTTCTACTTGTCCGACTGAACCTATTCTTGTTCTACTTGACTGACCATGGGCGCGTCCTATTATCATCACTAGACTGTGTATGTGCAAACTGCCGTTTTATGAACTACGTAACGAAAGCCAGAATGAAGGATTAAGTTATTTAATCGATTATTAATCATGTTCTTTTGTGGTCTATATAGTCACGTATGCTACAAATATATATTCTTCCTTTAATAATGATTACATGCCACATGTCATTGTCTAGGATAACTACTTATTTACAGCTAATACAACGATACTATGTATGGAAATAAAATTTGTTATATTAGTTTCACTCCAGCAAAATCCTGAATAGAGAAGAAAACTCCTATACGCTCTGTTTAGGCAAAATAATTTACAGAAATGCATGGTGCCCCAAAATAGCTTCGACTCCCGGAAATGAGGGGTTTTTGGGATGATTTGAAACAATTTTTCCCGAGGCTTTTAACGAGATATTAATAAAAAAAACCCCGACCAATCAGAGCGCGAGTTTGACGGCCAAGTTCCTGTGGTTACGTTGGCTACGCGCTGCGATTGGTAGCCAGACTCGCGCTGTGATTGGTCCGGGGTTTTTCGTCAATATCTCGTTGACTAAGTCTCGGAGAAAATTTTTGCTAAGGAAAAACTTGCTTCAAATCACCTTACGAGTCTGCCATTCTCAGGTCCTCCAATGTTTTTGTTACACCCTGTATAATTGTTTGCGTAATTTTTATGTTAAATGATTACCTTAGTCCCGGAACGGCGGTGACTGATCTCTGATCTGGACTAATTATCCAGGTGACGTGGGGCGTCGGACTCCCATGGGCAGAGCAGCTTAACTGGGAGCCCGTGGTATTGGAAAAGACCAGAGTACTTGGTGGCTCGAGAACGAACACCGGTCCTTGTTGGCCAAGCACGATTTCCAAAATGAACGCTGAAAAACAAATGGAATACTGTCAGACAAATACGAGCCTTCAAAGGCTTCGCTTATAAATTACACAAAATTTTCATTTAATTATGACTCCGTTTATTTTTCACATAATTGTCTGAAGTTTGTAATATTGGTCATTTAAATTTCATACTGTGCCGCTAGGAGGTGGATACTTATTAATTCGTATAATTAAATACAATGAAACCATTATACAATCTGTCAATGATTTTCTACATTTCCAGACGCTTCAATAGAGCAAATATGTTTTTGTTTCATTTTTCATTTTGCAAATGAGTCGATAAAACTTGTATAAATTTTTACCGTCTAATCCTTCAATATGCTATTTGCTTTTGCTTATTTCAAGAATGAAGAACATATAGGCCGTCGAACACTATGAATAATTCTTGAAGTACAGGGGACATTTATTTGCCTCTGGAAATAGAAGTAAAGTATACAGTGATTCCTCGATGAATGCGACACGAGCAACGGCGTTATTCCCACTAATAGTGGGATCCCCTCTGGAATCGATCGAAATAGAGTAAACAGAAGCTAAGCAGGGAGCCTTTCCGCCTTGCCATGAATGGTTCAAAGCGTACTCGAGTACGTCGCACTCTTCGAGACATTACTGTAGAATTTGTATCGTTCTAATAATTACGAAAGGTACTGTACTTTATTAAGTAATATTATAATATTGTTCACTCTTAAATAAGTATCACGATAGGTAGTTATAGGTAACAAATTCGCGATTTTTAATAATACCATTCAGAACCACTTTCCAAACGGAGGAACCGCATCAAATGGTTCGACAATGAACGCTTTGATATTGCCTGCCTCTATCGCATTTTGCGTTGAGGGACAAAGGGCGGGAGGGAAGGATTGTCACACGGTCCAGTGCACGCGCACTACAACAATAATTCAGAAACCGGAGAAATCAATTCCGGGTAAGCCAAATTCGACCTACATTCCACATCGATGTGACACCAAGGGCCAGCCTGAGATTAAACGGCCTGGGAACGGACAACCGCGTCACCGGTCCGTTGAAATATTTAATTCGAAATCCGGGGATTAAAAAGCGCTTTCGAAAGTGGCCCCTCGATTTATAGGGAAATCATTCCGTCGTCCCGTTTCTCGTGAACGATTATACGGGGTGTTCATGCAGCTAAAATAGCCAGAGTTTTTCACGTACCTAAATATACGAAAAATGTGAAAGAGGGAAAAGATTTACTGTTTTTTTTGTTATAATTAACATAATAGGGTATGTAAACTTGGTATGTTTGAAATATTTTTTCATTTTTTATACTCTTTTATATTGTATAGAAGCGTGTGTCATTACCAATTCAAACATTGTGCGATAGAATGGCCGCCAAGGTCATATAACGTCAAGATTGAATGAAATGTTTCGAATATTTCCTATCGTTGTATTACGTCATCTCATAACCCAGATAGCACATAACGCCTTGAAGACGGCTTAAAGGCGTCTTAGACCTAAAATAGCCGTAAAATGGGCGTCTTCAAGGCGTCATGTACTACCTGGGAATTAATGCAATTTTTCTGAGAGCTGAATGTAAGGGCTTTGTGTAATACAATAGAGATAATACTTTCGTCAAATGCAATGTGTTTTCTACTTTCTCCTCCCAGATAGCAGATGACGCCTTGAAGGCCCCCATTTTACGGCTTTTTTAAGTCTGAGGCGCCTTTAAGCCGTCTTCAAGGCGTCATCTGCTATCTGGGGTGAAGTCAATAAGATATTTAAAAGAAGAAAGAAATTTCTACCTTTGCTGTTGTCTTCGGAAAATTACTTTAAATAATATCATTTTACATAAAAATCCGCTGTATGTACAGATAATCTACTATTGGTATGTATTGGAAACGGTACCGTGTGTACGAAATGGTTCACGAATTAACGTGAATTATTATCTTAAAGAGGAAATATAGAAAAGTATAGCTGAAGTTGCTTGTGACGGTATTTAATATCTTCAGGTTGTGTAAATTCCCGGATAAAGTTTTGAAATATTAAGATGACTGCAAAATTTTCCACTTTATACTCGATCAAGGAGACACCAGGCCGAGGAAGACGTGTCACCCGATCGATCCTAGTTAACGGGCGGCGGGCGAGTGGAAATAATTCATCGGATGAATTATTTAGCCCCATCTAAAACCACGACACGGCTTAAAATACATTTTGACGCGCCCGGGATTCGGTATATAGGCGCGTCTGTGTCACACACCGCGACGCTAGACGAAATTTGCATTCCTCGTTAGGAGGTACAAACCGACACCTTTCCAGGAAATTGAAATTCTATTTCACGTCGGGCTACGCCTTACTAGACTAGTGTTTCGCGTTCGGTTGATTAACACTCTTGTGAAAGAGTTATCGTCTTGAAAAGGACGCATGCGGTCCGGGATATTACGAGAACAGGCCAAAAGGGCCAATGAAATTAATCAGACAAGCAGATTAGCATCATTTTTAGTCTACGATAATGGTGTAGCATTATAGGGCTACTCCAATGGAGATGCGCGTTGCAATGTGAAATTTGGAATTTTATATGCAGAAGAAATTATAACACTTTTTGTAGTGAACGTTTCAGGGTATATTAATACACATTTCAAGAACATTCATAATTTTCTATGTCGAGAAAAGATAAAAATTGGGGATACTGCATGCCTTCGTATATAATCAGTGATTACTAACCACTTATAAAACAATGGTTTCCGTGATTCCGGCCGTTCTACCCATCTGAAATAAAAAGAAAAGAAAAACAAAAGATTCTTAACTAGGACGAGTTCGGCTATAGCAGGTCGAGAACGAAAGAAAAATGTCGACACATCTATCGTATTCATTATCATTTAGTTAATAAAACATTTCATGTGTGTAAAATAAGAAAGTTCAACACTTTATATTCTTAGTTTTAATGTTAAATAAATATGCAAATAATTATTCTAAAATATATAACTTCATCTGGTGTAACCCACGTAAAGGTGCCTGATAGGGAGTGTTATGCCAAGCCAACAATCCTAGTTACCCCAATGGTTGTGTATTATGTATACATGTAGTCAAATAAGTATCAATAAACACGTTTGATCAGACGTATGTTATAGGAATTTGTAGGTAATGTCGGATATATGTAGGGTAGATGTCCCAATTACTGCCAATTTAAGACTGTACCATAACTTCGTTTGATCATTTTACGTGTTGTTTAAGCTAAAAATCATCTCAGTTTGGAGCATAATATTATTTAATATCTCTTTCATTACAAAAAATAGTTTCATACATTAAATATGAACAATTAATTAATGATCAATTAAAATCTGCGAGTAATCCCAGTGTTCTTATAACTGTCATCTAAAAAATTAATGTAATTTTTATATACTTTAATGATTTATTTTGTAGAATAAACATAGGTTGAATAGTAAAATTACAGCTCTTTCTTAGCGTGATTTCGCCATTACTTTCTACTTACATAGTTGCGTTTTTAATGCTAAAATTGCACCTTCATTTTTCAACGTTAACTTTTAATTACCAGATACATACAAGTACATGTATTTCTCTGTTTTTATAGAAATCAGAGTCCCAATATAATAATAAAATTCTGTGTTTACAATTCTTTATAAGTCACATTTTTATTAAAAACAAAGTGACAGTATTAGAAACACTGACAGTAATTGGGACATTTACCCTACATAAATATTTGGTCGGACTAGCTCTCAAGAACATACGTAGTTGATGAAGTAATCGAGGTTTAGTGTTGCGTAAGTGCTATAAAAAATTCTTGGTTAAAAACATAAGGTAAATAAAAGGTTTGTTTAAAAATACTTTCAGGCTTGGAACCCTCGTTTAAAAATATCGTTAATCTTGTAACATTTCTTGGATACGTCCGAGCAAAAATTAAAGACATAAATTTTGTAAATCACAAACGAACCATAGAGAATATGTAGCTGAGAATTGGAGTTGATCCACTAAATAGAATTAAACTCTGCTGACTTTAGAAAAGAAAACAAAGAATCAGAGTAACCAACAGGACAATATTCCAAAATGATTTAATGAATATTTTGAAAGAAATCGTGTTTCAAGGGCTGACTAGGAATAATACAGTTTTATTCTCGCCAGTAGTCCGTAGTAGATTTAAAGAAATCCTGAATAAAGACCCAGTTTACTATGATGAAAATCGTCAATAAACACTGAAGTTCCGTGGAACAGAAGGTATCTGCATTCTTGTTCATCTGTTCGATCATTACTTCCCCGTATATCAAGGCGAAGAATCTCTCTTATCCTTCAAGTGACAATTGATTTGTTCTGCGTTATAGACACCAGAAACGAAGAGAGCCTCCTTTCACAGTATTTTCTTCAACTTGAATCGGAAATTTAATGAAAGGCGCTTTTATTTACTTCAATGCCTTCATTCTTTGGTGGAAGCGCGTACCGATGAATATCAGAGTGATTGAATCGAATTAATAAAACGAATACTGGCTGGATCTCTCCTTCCTGTCCGTAGATCACACGAGTTCGTGGACGAATTGATTGGAAATCATACAGATCCCGATACCCATTGTCCCGTCGTTTTTTTGTTATTAATTAGCACGCATGATTCTCGATTAAAAATACTTTTATCGAAATACGATACACGTTGTAAATGTCATAATAAAATAAAAATGAAAAGTATACAGAAACATAAATTCAAAAACTGGTCGCTTAATATGAGACCCAGGTTTCATCTTGTCAAAACTTATTTTTTCTGTCATTTTTCACACATTGGGCATATAAATTAATTGCGTCTGCATCGCAGTCTTTGTGGGCACACAGGTAACATTTGATACACTGAAACTATTGTTCACCCATGTACATCTGAAGAATAAAGTCCTACACAAGCATTTCACTAACGAGTTCACTTGGAATTTTAATTTGCTAAGTAAGTTTGTACGTAAACTCAACCAGTAATCGGTGGTCCGCATCTAATGCTACTTATTTGCAGTTCCATTGACAATCGGTTTCGGTGCGTTTGCTT